AATAAAACCAATTTTAAGGAGAAACTTTATGCCTGACAAGTATGAGTCAATTGGAACATTGAGAAAACAATTCAAAAGAAGTCGAGTTTAGAACTTTACATCTTAACTCTTACTTTGTTTTGTGCTTTGTTTTTTGTCCTTTGTTTTCTGTTTTTGAGATGAAGCTTCGCTCTTGTTGTCCAGGCTAGAGTACAATGGTGCCATCTCGGTTCATGGCAACCTCTGCCTCCTGGGTTCAAGCAATTCTCATGCTTCAGTCTCCTGAATAGCTGGGATTACAGGCATGTGCCACTAATTTTTGTATTTTCAGTAGAGACGTGGTTTCACCATGTTGGTCAGGCTGGTCTCAAACTCCTGACCTCAGGTGATCTACCCGCCTTGGCCTCCCAAAGTGCTGAGATTACAGGCGTGAGCCACCGCAGCCGGCCTTAACTCTTACTTTGTATGTTGACTTTAGAAAGCACAGATATACACTGTAGACAGCTTGACTGAGATTGCTCACATACCAGAATTCTCTATTGAGAATCAGGTGTCATTGTGGGTAGAATCAGAAGTAAGCAACCAACATCTACTGAGCCCTTAACAGTGCCAGACGTTAGACTACCTTTCTTACAGAGAGCACTGCAGATATGAAATGAACTTCACATAGATCACACATGGATGTGGAAATGAACCCATTCATTAGCCTGAATGCCCATAAGGTAAATCATTTCAGACAGTACAATATCTTCAGCTCCATCTCATTTCTTTTTTCATTCTATTGAGAAATAAACATTCATTCTAGCTGCCAGCTTCTGGATTTGTCTGGAGTGTTGCAGACCCGAGTGGAATCAGCCTGGGTTCCCATCGATTTCTTTCTTCAGGAACTAAGCTTGTGTTCCTCTTCTCCTCCCTCCTCTCAGAAACTACTGAGCCCTCTCTCTCTTCACTTGTACCATCCCCTCTCCCCACCCACAAGCCCGACTATGAAATGGGATGTCACCCTACTTTTGCCTCCCCTTCCAGCACATATATTCATTTCATCTTAAACTGTTTCTGCTAATCACTTTGGGAAACAGAGATAATTAAAATCATAAGCATGAAGGGAAAAAAATGAAATCATAAACATGAAGGGATTCAAAATCTCATCATTGGCCTGAAGCTGTGCTTCCTGGAGCACTCTTTATTCTACATCTGCAATTATAACTAAGCACAGTTGGGATTCTGCCCCTCTTCCCCCACTGTCTCAGCTAATTTAATTCTGGGTCCTATTCGTTGATTGAATTAAATCCTACCGATGTCATGAAAACATCCAATGTTTCCCCGCTCCAAGTGCTCAACTCACAACTCTGAGGCCCACCAAGAGGTCCCTGCTGAAGTACCAGCTATTTCCTCTGTAAGGCGGTAATCTCCAAGGTAAACAATCCACCAGCACCTGGTACCTCTCCTTATCCTGCCTCCTTGGAAGAAAGGAAAAAGAGAATTTAGCCGAAAAAAATTCCTAAAACCTAACAAAGTATCCCAGCCCCTTTGGACAGACCTATGTACCCATCTGTCATAAGTAAACCCACACAACAAGAATGTTGCCATGTCTTTAAAAATTCGTGAGTTCCAGCCAAGCGCAGTGGCTCATGCCTGTAATCCCAGCACTTCGGGAGGTCAAGGTAGGTGGATCATGAGGTTCAGGAGATTGAGACCATCCTGACCAACAAGGTGAAATCCCATCTCTACTAAAACTACAAACATTAGCCGGGCGTGGGGCGCATGCCTGTAATCCCAGCTACTCGCGAGGCTGAGGCAGGAGAATTGCTTGTATCCAGGAGATAAAGGTTGCAGTGAGCCGAGATCAGGCCGCTGAACTCCAGCCTGGCGACAGAACTACACTCCATCTCAAAAATAAATAAAAATAAAAATTCCTGAACCCTCAATTTGTCTCCCCTATTCACTCAATTGAGTCATTATCTTTCCAAGCTAGACACATAGGAGCTATATTTTCCTCCTTCCTCATCCTTTCCATTTGATCTGTGGTCATCCCTCATTCCCCTACTTATTTTATCGCCCCCTTTTATCCTCACACTTTTTTCTCTTGTATGTTGAATGTATTTGCTAGTTACATGTTAATCACCCTTGAATTATCTTGAAAGAAACTGATACCAGCTGATGTTTCAAAGATTGACTTTCTATACCTGTTCTGTACTTTCATTTTAGTGATCATTTATTCTATTGTTTTAGGTTAATACTGTTTTCATACCTTAAATAACTTTGCTTCCCACAAAGTAGAGGGTTGTTTTTTTTGTTGTTGTTGTTGTTTTTTAAGCATTTCTTATTTAACGCTTTATAAACACAACAACCTAGGAAAAGGGGTTACTTTATATCTACCTTCCACTCCTGCAGCTTTGATTCCTGGCACACAGCATGAAAAGCAAGCAGAGGAACACAGCAGTTAGCAACTTTCACCACTTTTCACCTGTTCTTCCCCATTATTGAATCTATCTAAGGAAGACATCACTGTGACTGCCGGGAGATGTCAGGCCTCAAAAAGGAAGTTGAAAATTATGTAAGAAATGAGCCCAGTGACCTCCATTTCCTTGCCTCCTTGGTAAATAATTTGTGGTTTTCCAAAACTGGAGGAATATTTTAGAGTTCAAGCAAGCTTGGCAGTAAATTGTCCCAAGGCTCATAAAAATGTGCACACAGGGTTTTGCAGACACCAAATCAAATAACTAAAGTGAAGTGAAACCAAAACAGAGCAGATGTGTGTATGCACAGGCATATCCCAGTCCCAGAACTGCAGACAGAGTTGTCTGTCTTTTACTGTGTAACATCAATTCTAGAATATTAAACAGTTCAGTGGTAGGGAGGTGCTAGTCGCTCTTCCTTTAACCTCCAAAATATTTCTAACATCCAGTTTTGACTGCTTTCATCAAAGAGATAGCTCATGGGTTACAACTTCGAACTTTGGAACAATTCAGAGTTTAGCAAAGCCATTGTCCTCTGCTTCTTGTCTTCTGCATGTGCTGAGAGGATTGGGAAGGGAAGTCAGCGCTGTTAGTAAAGAAACTGAGGACAGAGGTGGGGCAAGCAAAGACACATGCTCTGGTGTTGGAAAAAAAGAGACACAAACTTGAGGATCCTAGCAGGCTCCAGATCATAGGGATTAAGAAGAAATTGGCTCAAACTTAAACACTAAGTGTTCACTTCTATTTCCCTTCTGAATAAAACAGTAAGGGGATTGTGCCAATACCCTCCAGCAGTTAGCAGAAGAGTCCCAACTAGAATACAGAACTTGAGACGGTAAGTTCACTGCTCAGTGGACATATACCCAGATCACAAAGCCTTACAAATAGGGCTTTCTATATCCTCCCAGACCCTCCTACGTTTTTTGTTTGTTTGTTTGTTTTTTCCCCCTCAAAGCGCCTACCTGAATGATCCTCTTCAAGAGAAACCAGGTCATAAGTCTTGTTCTCTTCTCTGCTGCAACCATGCAATGGACCTTGAAATCACTCAGAGCGAGAACCAGAGCCTCACAGTGCCCTCCAGGGTGTCCACCATCTGCTGAGCTTACACCTCCACCCGCCCTGCCACCCTCACCTCTCAGGTCCCTCCAGCTGAACCCCTTTTTCACTCTGTCCCAACCGGATGGGGCTCATCACTGCCTGCGTCTTTGCACTTTCTACTCCTCCCCCAGAGATCTTCTCACCCTGTTCCCTCTCCGCCCGTAAGTCTCTGCTCAGACATTACCTTTTCAGGGAGGCCTCTCTGACCATATCATCTAAACGGGTAAATGACAACTCTTCAAGACTCTTGTCCCCCACCTGGCTCTGCTTTTGCATACGGTACCTACCCCCTTCTCTCTCTCTCTCTCTTTTTTTTTTTTTTTTTTGCTTTGAGATGGAGTCTCGTTCTGTCACCCAGGCTGGAGTGCAGTGGCGCGATCTCGGCTCCCTGCAGCTTTCACCTCCTGAGTTCAAGTGATTCTCATGCCTTAGTCTCCCAAGTAGCTGAGATTACAGGCATGTACCACCACACCTGGCTAATGTTTGTATTTTTAGTAGAGATGAGGTTTCACCATGTTGGTCAAGCTGGTCTTGAACTCCTGACCTCAAGTAATCCATCCACTTTGGCTTCCCAAAGTGTTAGGATTACAGGCATGAGCCTCCGTGTCCGGCCCTCACCTTCTTATATTCTATATAATTTTTGTCTCCCTCACCAGAGTATGAGCTCTGTGAAGCCGAGAGCTTTCCTTCCTTTTCTTCACCGATGAATCCCAGCATAAAAAATTATGTCTTGTACACAGTAGGATTCAACAAGGAGATCTATGTATTATTTATATGTTTTTATATATCTCATTGACATATATGTTGTTTACATATATATCTTATTTACATATATCTCATATAGGTATATACACAAATGGTCCCTAACTTACGACGTTTTCAACTGTACAACGGTGTGAAAGTGAAACACATTCAGTAGAACCTGTACTTCAAGTTCCCGTACAACCATTCTGTTTTTCATTTTCAGTACAGAATTCAATAAACTACATGACATATTCAACACTTTATTATGAAATAGACTTTGTGATGATGATTTTGTCCAGCTGTAGACCAATGTAAATATTACGCATTTACAAGTTAAGTGTCTAAGCACATTTGCAGTGGACTAGGCTAAGCTACGGTGTTCGAAAGGTTAGGTGCATTCAGTGCATTTTTGGCTTGGAATATTTCCAGCTTACGGTGGGTTTATCAAAACATAACCCCATCGTAAGTTGAGGAGCATCTTTCTCTCTCTCTCTATTTTCTCTCTCTCTCTTTCTCTCTCTCCATATAAATGTATATACACACATACACACATATATATATATATACACACACATACATACATGCTCTGTGTGTGTATAGAGAGACAACTCTGTTCTCTGAGTGTGTGTGTGTGTATATATGTGTGTGTGTGTGTATGTATATATATATGCACAGAGAGAGAAAAGAGAGAAAGAGAAATCAAATCATCCATGGCTACATTTGAGAATAGATTTGTGTAATGATCTTTATTTTACCAATCAAAAAGTTAATGAAGAAATGGAACGGACAAATACAAGTACCAACAATATTATACTTAATTAAGGTTTTTCTCTTTTGATTTAATGACTAGACTTATTGTAACTTCTTCTTACAAAATAAATTATTGAGCAGAACACAGGTTTGTTGAGGACCAGGAATTTTCAGACATTCAGAAGTCTATCCTAGGCCATCCTCTGGGTCTAATGGAAAGTTACTTGCTCAATGTTTATGTGAGCCAGGAACCAGCAGAAGTGGCTGCATGACTTCAGTGAAAACACAGGGAAGTTTTAGAGGGTGATGGCTGTCGGAAGTCGAGTTGCATATCTGGAAGCCATCTCTTCCTTGATTCGTGACTTTAAGGACAAGTGGACATTTTTGAAAAGGTACATGGTGGTTTCTTTATAGTTTGGCACAGAGTCACTGTGGACTCAGGGTGTCCCAGACACAGGGAGCAAAGTGGGTGGCAGAGGAATCTAAGGGTGGTTCATGCTGACTGTTTGATCCAGCAGACATTTTTGAGACTTCTAAAAGGTTGGCATTTTATGGCCTATTTAGTCATTTAAATCCTCGTGGGCCTTTGACCAGCAGAAGTGGGTGAATAACTACAGAGCAGTTCAACCTGAACTTCCAATTGCAACAAAGAAAAAGTGAGGGGCAGGGGTTTGCTGGTGAATGACAGTCTCTTCATGAGCTTCCCTGAAAAATAAACAAAATTAAAGTAAAATAAAACAAAATTAAAGACTACTGAAAACTAATCTAATAAGTAATCACGTATTGACATTTCTTCCCCCAAAATATCAGCTTTAAAGAACTGAATAGAGGGTGGTGGAGAGACTGAGCTTTCCTTTGTTATTGTTCTCTTTTGATCATTTCACTGCTCCTACTTTATTTTAATAATGCATCCAAAGACTGATTCACCCTCTGTCTCCCACTTTAATAAAGGTTCATTAGTGGATTAGGAGAGATTTGAAACCGAGCCCAGTGGAGTCAGCAGAGACAAGTTCCTAACAGCCATTCAGCACATTTTGAAAAGCGCCAAGCTAGCAACTTGGAAAAGAGCCACCAATAAAATGTGGGTGTACTTGTGTCCATGGAACCCCAGTGGACAGACAAATCACCCCCACTTCCAGGAGGGGCAACATGGCTCACTGAAAATGTTCAAGGCAAAGATTGTTGTGTCTACTTTGAGCCAACCCCAAGAAAATAAATATAGCCCATCCACATGGAAAATCAGGGAGAAACTGATGACCACATATATTATTATAATCAAAATAAGTAAATAAGTGCAGCCACTTGTGCTACTCTGGAATCCCAGCATCCTCTTTGAAATCTACAAGCCCTTCTCAATCGTAGCAGGTCCCACACTCCTACCTGGCCTACAGAGGGGTCAATCACTGGTGTTTGTAAGCACGCAGGTGGTTCACACCTCAATGCTTCGCTTCCTTCTAAGCCTTCTCCAAGAGTGAAACTAAGGAGGGAGCTGTTGACTTCATCCTTTTTCCCTGTTTCCACAGGTTTTATCAAAATTATTTATGATGATATTTTCAATATGTACACAAAAATTCTACTTCTATTAGTATTACGAATATGATAACAAGCTAACAATTGAGCACTTGTGAATTTTTCTAAGAACGTTACAGCCATTAGCTCATTTAATATTCAGAATCCTGTAACACATTATAACCCATACTCTTGATTGTCTGATTTCAGCCGTATCTATAATCTCCTTTCTCTCCCAAATTCAAGCAAAGGTGGTCAGAAGACACAAATCAGGCCCATAAGTGAGTTTCTGCTTATTGGAAATTTGAGAAAAGCATTGATTTTCTGACAAAAAGGCCGACTCAGCTAAAATTCTCCCATGTCTCTTTTCCCTTCTTTTTGTATGAAAAGTAGAATCGCACACACGGTATGGCAGAGACAAAAAACCTCATTTCTCTCACACTATTGATCAACAGCACCTGCTCTTTGGGTTTCTCTTTGTTTAAGCTACTGTAAGTCATACTTTCTGGTACTTTCAGGCAAAGATATTCCTATCAGGTGCCATTTACTGGTGAAGAAGCTGATACATGATGAAATGAAGCCATCTATCCAAGATCACCCAGGTGGGAAGTGCAAAAGCTTAGCTTAAACTCAAACTCTTTTTTCCCAGAGCCCACATTACTAACCACTATGGCATGCTGTGATGCCCTTGGCAACCATTAGATTAGAAATATGGACATTCTAGGCTGGCCCGGTGGCTCACACCTATAATCCCAGCACTTTGAGAGGCCCAGGTGGGCATATCACTTGAGCTCACAAGTTCGAGACCAGCCTGGACAACATGGTGAGACCCCATCTCTACTAAAAACGCACACGAAAAGAACCCAGGCATGATGGTGCATGCCTGTAATCCCAGCTACTCAGGAGGCTGAGGCAGGAGAATTGCTTGAGCCCAGGAGGCGGAGGTTGCAGAGAGCTGAGACTACACCACTGTACTCCAGCCCGGGCAATAGAGCCAGAAAGGAAAGAAAGAAAGGGAAGGGAAAGGAAGGGAGGAGGAAGTGAAGGGAAGGGAAGGAAGGAGAAAGGGAAGGGAAGCCGCACAACACCACGCCTGACTAATTTTGTATTTTTAGTAGAGATGGGGTTTCACCATGTTAGTCAGGCTCGTCTCAAACTCCTGACCTCAGATGATCCGCCCGGCTCAGCCTCCCAAAGTGTTTGGATTGGCCACTGCACCCAGCCTATTGTGATTCTTTTACTCAAGTTTTCTACACAACTTTTGTATTAGCTACAGAAACACAAAGTCAAGTTCTGGATCCTCTTGCCTCTGCTTGCAACTCTGTTGCCATCTCACCCATCCTGGATCTAGCCAATACTTTCCTTTAATTTTAAATTATTTTAATCTGTGGAACATGCCAGTATGCCAGAAGTTTCCTAACTGTGTTCATGTATATGATGCCAAGGGAAAATGGAAAGAGGAAGAAAAGAAAGGGGGTGGGGGATGAGAAAGGGAGGATGGGGGAAGGGAAAGAAAGAAAACATTGTTATAACTAATTTTACCAGAATTGATACATTGTTGAGATAACCTTTTTAACTTTCTATTTGGAAATAATTTTTAACATTACAAAAAGTCGCAAAAATAAAAATCGTACAAAGATCATCTATCCATTTAGCCTTTACCCAGATTTTGCTGCTGTTAACAGTTTATTCCCATTTGCTTTGTCATTTGCAATAGATGATAGATGATCAATAGATTAGTAGATTAATAGACTGACAGATAAATTAGATAATTTTTTTCTGAACATTGTTTTTTACCCCTAAACACTTCAGTGTATCCTAAGGGATATTCTTTTCTACAACCACCATGGGCTTATCAACTTCATACATTTGCATTGATACAATAATTTTTCTACTTTAACAATCATATTCTAGTTTTGTCCATTGACGAAAAATGTCCTTTCTTGAGTTTTCTCCCACCAGTGCAGAATTGGTAGGTTTCATTATAGAAGCGTTTGTTGCTGCTGTTGCTGCTGCTGTAACTGTTTTATATAAGTTCAATTATTTGATGAAAAACTGTTAGCCCTTGAATAGGGCCAACCTGGTGATAGCCCTTATCAGGACTCAGGCTTCCAAGAGCAGTTCATACTTGACCTCATCTCTTCCATGCCTACCCTCTGTTTCATCCTTTCCACTCCTTTTTGTTGCAGAAAGAAACAAACAGCAGGCTCGCTTTAGACCCAGGTGAGTGGGCTCCTCCCTCAGTCCTCACGATTCAGGGGCCCATGAAAATGTCTTTCATGATAGTTTCTGAGAACCCCTCCCACCCCCAACCCTCTGGTTCCTGGGCCTGGCTGGAGCTGGTAGTGTGGTCTGGGCAGGTTTCCTGAGCCCAAATGGGGATTTGCTTGTACCCAGTCCCCCTTTCTCCCCTTTAGAGTTCTTTCCAACCCACTTTCTTATGCACAAGTGGGCTTGACATTCCAAAGAGCTCCAGAAATCGTGCCTGCAGGTCATCCTGGGGCCCTGGGGCTGACCTCCAGTTCCAGAAAAGCAGCCTAGGAGTGGATTGATTCTGCTGACTGGCACCGATTGCCTGTCATGGGATGGTGTGTGATTGGGCCACCAGAATGGTGCTGACATCCTGATTTTGAATGATTCTCACTCACTCGGTCACAGGATGAGTTCAGGACTCTGGGCTCCCAACAGCCATCCGCCAGCCCTTGGGTTCGAGCTGCATGCGAGGTTTCCTGCCTCCTCAGTTATCCCCCTTGCTGCTACTGTGGTGTTACCTCTGCTCTGCAGCACCCGCGGTGGCAGGCAAGGTTTATGCTGTGCACCTGCTGCTGCTGAAACCCAGGGCCATCGCCCCATCCCTCTGCAGGCTGCACCACAGTGCTCGAGGGTGGCTTCACCCACCTCCTCCAAGGGCTTTCCAGATGGTTGTTCTGCAACACCAGCAGGCTCTTCCAATCCATGTTCATTCTTTCCTCCAGCTGATGGGGTGCCTGGCCCTCCCAGGTTAAGCTGAGCGAGATAAGGGTCAGGGATTCCTTGCATAGATGCGATCACTCTTCTCGCTCCACCACTGGAAACAGTGTGAGGAAACCAGGGGTGCAGTCCACATGAAAAGAGATCACATTTTAGGAATGTTGTCATTACAGCCTCAAGGGTTCAAGAGACGACATGGTTGGAAAATGTGTTGTTCTATATTTATACCATAAAGTTCCAAAGGGTAAATTTAACATGACCATAAAATAAATGACTGTGCACATTTTCCTGCATACTCTGTGCATTTGTGGTCATCTTCAAAGAAATACGGGCACAACCTCTGAAAAAGCCATTGGAAGCCAGTATTCACACAGGCAGCAGGATGGATGGTACAGTATCGTGAGTAATGATGTAGCCAGCATGAAACAAATAGCATTGGGGACTTTAGAGGCAAGAAGAATCAGAATGCTTCAACACGGACAGGTTCTGACAAGCTATAGGTCTTGAATAATAACAAAATTGCTACCCTTTTCTCACAGTGGGAAATATGAATTATCCAGGAACAGCACACTTGACAATAACTAATATGAAGAGATGATTTCTGGATCCAGAAGGAAAGTGTCGGGATGGTACAAAGAATTATCAAGTAGTCTGGACAATAAACAAATACATCAGTACCTCTTTACCCATCATTCTAAATCTTCAGTGATCAATCACTAAACCTCATATACGTTTAAAATTTTGCAAAGCATTTTTCAAAGGAATTGCTTGTATAAATGGGAGACCCACACAAAATAATACTTGCCCAGAGTCCCACACATCCTAATGTGGGCCTAAAGAGGTAGACAGTTCTCCATGTCCTAATTCTAAGAAGGCCATCACAAAGCGTGAAAGCATTCCAAAGACAACTCAGTTTTTCTTACATCTTGATCAATTCCCATTGACTTTTAAGCATTGTAGAAAGTAGAAAAATTACAACTGAAAATGTGCCTGGAATACAGGGAGATACCCACTGAAACTTGAGACCAGAATAAGAGAGACTGACTTCAGCTCAAAACAATGAAGTCTCCAAGGCCACATGCACACCCTTTGAACAAGGAAGAAAATATGGCTGTGCAGTTGCACAACTTGAGGAATAGCACATGGGGACGGGCTGCCAGTCTAGCTAGGAGAGGAAGTATACAATCCCATTACTGCAAGCTAAGAGAAGGACAATTCATCATGACAAGGTTCTGTGGCAGTGTCTAAGGAGTCACTTACTTTATTCAATAGTAAAACAGAACTCAGAAAAGAAGCTGATCTGTTTTCACAACTAGGTGAGTCCTAGTCACCTGTTCCTTGGAAACTGCTTCATTTTCTTTCTCTTCTTTTGTGCTACACCCACGTTTCTTCCCTTCTCCCGGGTCTCCTGTTCTGCAGGATTAGACTCAGCCCAAAGCGGTATGTTCTGTTCCTCCCCAGCAGCAACACTTCCACGTTCGGAAGTGCCAACCTATGCGCAGTTCTTCTCAGTCAGTTTCTTGGTCCTTCCCTCCTTCGCTTTGTGATAATTATGCCTATTGGTATCTCCATTATTTTTCCAAAGAGACTAAGAAATGTATAACCCCAGAGCAACAGAAGCACAACCCACCACTACCCTTTTTTTTTTTTTTGGAGTCTTTGGCTAGGATCAAGTTACCATTTGTGGTCTTCATATGCTGGCAGGAAGAATTACAGAAATAAATAAGTTAACCTCACTTCAACAATTACGGAAACCATGATTAATTCAAACAAAAGATATGTGCAGTGACTTTAACCTTTAGAAGGGCCAAATTATGCTCTCCTTTCTTTATTGAGTAAAGCATACTCTGCTAAGGAGAGCCTAATTTCTGTGTTTCTGTCACTTAATGGTAGTAGAGGATGGCTACAACTTTTTTTGGGAAAACTTCAGACATGACAGGGGAAAAGAACAAAAAATTAAAGAAAACAAAGAGTATTGTAAAACTGTGAGAGGGAAAGGAGGAAACAGAAAAAATGAAAGAAAGAGGTATGTCTGATAGGATGGAGAAGGAGTCAGTTCCACGCTAGATAGAGAGACTCTTGGGATATGGTTTTTGCCAGATGCCATATATGTTGTATATGCAACTGGGTAGCAATAGCAGAGGTTGTTTTGAAATGAATTGTCTAATGGGAATTTGCTGCACGCCTGTCTTACGTATGTGTAGGAACATTTCAAGCCAGTGGTTACACATCAGATTTATCTTTTATTGTTACATGTCAGTGTCCCTCTTTAAATCACAATGAGGGCTGGGATGCAGGAAAAATGAAGCCTGGGTTCACCTAGCACAATACCCTTTTTTCTCAGCAATTCTATTAACATAACAATTGTGCCAAATGTCATAATACAAATGCCCAACAGACAGCTGGACACGGGGGCTCCTGTAATCCCAGCACTTTGGGAGGCCAAGATGGGAGGATTCTTTGAGCTCAGGAGTTCAAGACAGCCTGGGGTGACATAGTAAGACCTCATCTCTACTAAAAATAAAAAATAAAAATTAGCCAAGCATGGTGATATGCGACTGTAATCCAGCTACTCAGGAAGCTAAAGTGGGAAGAGTCATTTGAGCCCAGTAGTTCAAAGCTGCAGTGAGCTCACATGACTGCACTCCAGCCTGGGTGACAGAGCAAGGCGCTGTCCAAAAAAAAAAAAAAAAAAAAAGCCAACCAAAGTTTGAACACATTGTTTTTATTCTGGCTTTACAAGGAATTTCAGTATATGAAAGAGATTTCTCTTGCTTAAATTATTTTGCTAAAATATTTAAATAATAGCTGGCATTAATGAGTGAGTGTGATGTTCTAGGTATATTTCAGGTACCTTAACTGTAATAATTTATGGAAACCTTACAATAGGTCTACCTTCATTTTGCAAATGAGGAGACTGAGGCTCAGAGGGACTAAGCAACCTTCCCAAAGTTTCCCATCTGGTAAGTGATGAAGCTGGCTTACAATCACAAGCAGCTTATTTGAAGCTACTTTTGAACTCTCAGATATTCCAACACATTAAATCAATTAGCATCAACTAGCATTTCTAATGACTTTTTGATTTGGTTCTACTTGCTGCATCTGCAGTTACTGTCATTCATCCACAAACTAAATATGCTTTGTCACTCTCCTGATTTTTAAAGTGCTCTCTTCTCCTGAACTTGACAAAAGCTGAATTTCCTCAGGAAACAAATAACTGGTGAAATCTATTAAACCATCCATGCCACAGATCTGAAACTGTCATGTGTAGTTTAGTAATTTTTGAGAATCCACAACGCCCTTAGAACTGTACAGAAGATGAAAGAATATTATCTCTACCTCACCCCTCTAAAAAAGCCAGAGAAAAAAACCAGCAGAACTTCTTGTTCCTGTATCTGCTGGCACATCATATGCTTTTAGATATGATCATCGAGACAAGCAGTGTTTCATTTTTCATTTTAAGCCCCCACCCTACAACCAGCAGAAGAGAAAGTTTCTAAATCATGCAGACCCATGTTACTTTTCCAGTGGAGCTGGTGAGGGAGTAAGGTGCTGTTTTTAATTCTGGAAACCAACACACACAATAGAAGTCTATCCTACAAAACCATACCTCTGGATAGCATCACCTTTCAGTCTCATAACATTTAATTGCCTATTAATTCACACTTTTAGAGTATAATTATAGTTAATATCACATTTGCACACAAACTTCACAGACACAATAAATCAATTACAGCAGCCTGAAAAGTCAAAGACACATCTCTGAGGTATCTACTTATCCGTAAGCCTGTTTAGAAAAACCGCTTTTAGTTTGTCTCCAGGTCTATGCTTAAATCCAGAAAGCCTGAACTTTCCCATCATTTCCACATCTCTTTTACTCGAGGAGAGCTCCAAACTCCGTTTTAGGACTTTTTCTCAAACAGGTTCTCTTAATGGTAATATTCAAATAAAGGTAGAAATATTTCAATATTAATAATTAGTCTTTAGTGGGTTTTATCATTTGCAATTTACTACCTCATATATTTTTCTTGTAACAACCAAGCAACCCTGTGACATGTCATGGAGTGACTTGTGATTATCAGCATTTTACACATAAAAATGTGACCTGAAGGAGCGGAGTGTAATATTATTACTGGGGTACATGGCTGGGGATATTACAGTCAAGATTCATACCTAGGTTTTGCCGAGCTGAAATGTTCAGCAAAAATCCACTTTAATATGAATCAGGCCATATGCACACACATTTTATTAAACAAAAATCTAGAAAATATCCCAAGAATAGATTGTAAGCATTCCCTGAGGTATTTTCTATGAATTCAAGCATACTACAGCTACCACCACATAAAAGACAGATGTGAAACCAGACTCAAAATGAAAACCAACAGAACTATTTTTATTGCCCACGCTTTGTATAAAAAGCAAGAGGAGAAAAGAGCCTGAAGATCAAATGACAAAGAACTTTCTAAATCTGTCACTTAGTAACATATTGCTAAATTCTTGTTCTCTTTGTCCCGACATGTTAAAAGTCTGCCTTCTACAGAAGATTTTATGTTCTTTCTCTGTCTCTCAATACTCTACCTTCTCGAGTGCAATGGAAGAATGACAGGGTGACTGATTAATACACGCATAATATCAAAAATGTGTAAGACATGTGTAAAGAGAATTTTTTTTTGTCTTTGACATTGTTTGTGTTCCTCCCATTTATACTAATTTTTCAGGTATGGGTATTGTATTTTGAAGATCCAGCATACTGCAAAGCCAGTTAAACACAGAGGACATAACTTTCGCCTTGGGAGATGCACACGTGCCCACAAAACCCGCCCCTGAGTTGCCCCTTTCTCTATGTCTGCATTTCAGACCATCACTAAAACGTTTGTGGGCAGCTCATAATTCTTGCCAAATCCATATTTAACCTTCTGCAGTCACATTAGTGGACATGGCTTCGGCATTCGTTGCCTAGAAAACAGATCAATAGACTCTACATTTTGAAGGGCATCAAATCCTCCCGGTCTGGAGCAGAGAGGCGGTGGGCCTGAGAAGAGCCAGCAGCAGTCACATTGAGCCTCACGGCGCTGCCTGCACCGGAGGGAACAGAAC